ATTGGTGACGTGACCTAGAAATTCATGGGAGAAAGGGCCAGGAAAGGATGTCAGAGGCTGTGTACGTGTGAAGAGGAAAATACCTTTACTTTTAGCCAAAGAGATTTCCTTTAGGCTTTTTGGGTGATAAAAACTTGAAATATTTTAGCCTTATCTTAGCATAATATTCATTATTCACTTCATAGGATTGTTGCTTTATTTAGCAAATGGAAACTGCCTGCTCCTTTCATTGAGCAACATTCCACACTGCTTTCTGTGACTCAGTGTTTTTTCCATTGGGACACCAGCCAGAGATTCCCCCTTTGCAGTGGAACGTCCTACCTACTGTATTCACAGGCAGAGTCATCAAACTGGATAGACAAGCGCCTTAGTCTGAGCAGCTCTGGGCACTTGGCCAATTCTCACCTGAAATGAGTTAACTGGTGACTCTGGGGAAGTTATATAATATCATATAAAAAAGATAAGTGAAACTTACTTTGAAATTGAAACATATTTTCAAATCAAGTTTGGAAGGATCAAATGTCCAAGAATCGGCAATTTCTAGGGAATGGATTCCTTAAGATCAGAGACCCTGTCTTACTCCTCCTGATTCTACTGTTGCCAAGCAAAGTGCCTGAAACTGCACACAATCACACACACACACGCACATGCACACACACACATGCACATGCACACACATGCATACAAACATGCACACAGAGATGCATACACACATTAAATAACCATTATACTACATACAGTATATATAATGCATATTTATATGTTATGCTGTTCAGCAGATTATCATTATATAACACATACATATCATATGGTGATGAATTTACTGAATAGAAATTCATTAGCTTAGGGGAGGGGGTTTTATGAGGTGTTTTTCATCTGGCTAACCTCTCTTTAGACCTATATCAGCCTAGACACTCTCCTTTAAAAACCTTCCCCTTACTCTGAGCGAGGGCAGGCATTTGATTCTCATTCTATTACCACACTTCTCCTTGTATGGACTGTATATTTGTCTCTTGCCCCAGCTACCTGAAATAACCAAACCAAACCCAACCAAAAAGCAATATCGAATTTGTAGAGAGGGACTGACTCTCGTCTATGCGGATTCAGGTTCCCAGCATTGTCCTTGGTGCATAAAAGGCATTCAGTAATGTTTACTAAGTGAACAAGAGAATTAACATGTCCTTTTGCTGTATTTCAGCATCATCACATATAGAAAAGCCCAAACCTTTCTTTACTCGTTTAGATTCCCAGCACCCAAACCAACAAATCTAGCCATGACCAGACTATCCAAGTTGAATGGTGTAAAGTCAGTGCGAAAAACAGAAAACCAGCAGGGAAAGTATCTCCAAGATTTCTCCATGAACCCGTGTCAGCTGGGTTGAGTGTACGTGCTGTTTGTTCTATGCTGGTGCAGAAGTGTGTCAAATAAGGAGACCGACTACAAGGATTACGTTCAAAGACCTCCCCCAGACCCCTCTGCCAGGGCTGCCCAAGGAAATCCAGATTTCGGGATGCTTAGTCTCAGGAATATTAAGACTCTCTTATTTCAGTGAAGTCGAATCACATCGGTAAAATATATAGTTCTCTGGTGATCTGCGTGATCCTGGGCAAGATATGCCCTAACAGCAACGACCATTCATGAGGGCTTCTTGGGTAATGTTTGAGGTTTTAAATAGGAAGTATCACCGTATTGCACAATGCGAAATTTATTTCTAGTTCAGATTCCAAGCAGGAAGCAATTCTTCCCATCGGAACTGTTTAAGATGCTCCTCCCAGGGCCAGGATACTGACACATGCTGGTCTGGCTGGAAAGGACCCTCCATCCCCCAAATGGAAACAAGCCTCTCCCATAGAGGACTCAGGCTGGTCGGGAACCTACCACCCCACACAGCCTCTCAGAGATTAGTGGTAAGGCGGGGGGGAGGGAGGTAACACAGGAAGGCCTCGTGCAAAATGCCACTAAATCTGTTACCTAAAGGCTGCACGTGAGCTGGTAAGACATAGACTAACAAAAAACCATCTGGTAAGGGCTCCAAAAAAAGTAGACAGGCAAACTGACAGTATACAACCAGACAGTTTGGGGCAGAGAAGAGGGTCTCCATGTCATGAAAGAAAAACATAGTTTGGATTCAAACTATTTCCCAGACCCCCCTGCATAGGGTTCTTATTAGTTCCTTGGAGAAAGTGATCTGGAGATTGATATGAAATCTCGGCATATCTGCTAGAATTTATTGTACACATAATATGTAAATATGTGTATGTATACATGTACATATAGATCTATTTATGTAAGATGAGCTGTATGCAATACTCTTTATAGAGTGGGTGTTTCTAAATCTTAACAGATCGTGGCCTTTATACCATTCCAAGTTTAAAATCTAATTTATGTATCATGTCAACCTATATTCTATTATCTATCTATCTAGCTAGCTAGCTATCATCTTTCTGTCTCTATCATCTATCTATGTGTCTTTTATCCAAAGATAAATCTATTTGTCACAAAATGAGTACATTTTTTGCTGTTTTTTCTGAAGTTCCTCATTTTGTAGCTCCTGAATGAAAACTACTAGACTGTTGAAGAGTTTGGTGTTTTGTCATTGTTTATACTGAGGTCTTGTTATAACCTCTAACATTTATAGATGTTTATACCTCTGAGTACTTGTTCCTCAAGTTACCCCACTGCCTCAAGAAGTAACTCCCTCCTTTCTCTTCTCACACAGTCCATTTCCAACTTTCTCCTGGACTATTTGAGCTTACCTAGAGCCTTCTGTTCCGTGAGGGTCTGTCCCTCCGTGCTCACCGGGGCGTCTGTGTCCCCTGGGCAAGGTTTTGATCTGCTGGTGTGGCAGACTTGCCAGCTGTTACTTCCGTTATATCCGGAAAGCCCTCAGCACAGTCGTGGGCCTGTAGTTAATGTTTGGATTTGCTAGTTGGATTTAATGTTTGGATTTGCTAGTTGGATTTAATGTTTGGATTTGCTAGTTCGACTTAATTGAAAAAAAAAAAAAAAAAAAATCTCATTCCAAGTACGTGAACCAGAGACAGGCCGTGAATCCAGGAGCCTGGGTTTGGCGCTCACCACCGCCTCTCACATCCTGAGAGGCACCTCGAGATGCCCGTTCTGATAGCGCAGCCCAGGGGATCCCGGGTGACTCACGAGGCGGGAACACCAGGACGTCTTTCCTACTGTCACTTTCCTAACCCGAAGCTTCTCCACTGCCGGAGCCTGCTCACGAAGAGAGGCCCTGGAAGGCGCTCTCGGGCGAGGCCGCTCAGCTAGACTTTGGAAAGGTCGCAACAACCGGGACGTGCCAGCGCCTTGCCTGGCGAAGGGCAGGAGGAGCTGGGTCCCCTTTGGAGCAGTTCCTCGTTGGAGTACGTGTGTCCCGGGGTGACTAAGCGAGGGAGTTCCAGCTGAGCCGCGAGGAGACGGAAAAGGAAGCAGATCCGAAGCGAGGAATGTGCCACTTTTCCAGGGGCGCCGGCTGCGTGTGCTTTTCAGGCGCGGTCCCGGCGCAGATGCAGCGCAATGTGTCCCCCTGGCAGGGTCCGGCCGTCACTCTGCATCCGCGCATCTGGCACAGAGCCCCTGCCCCAGGTGGTCCGAGTCTGTTCTGGGTGAGCCTGTGGCTCTTTTCCTCCGAGGCAGTTCAGTGCTCGAGGTCAAGCAGGGCTGTTGAAATCTGACAGCAAGTGATCGAAGGGAAGGGCGTGGGCTCTAAGACAGACTTCTTCCCGGTGAAGGAGGAGGTCAGTCCCCAGGCCAGGGTGCTAAGAGTAAAAACCTTTCCTGTGCCCTTAGGTGAACAAACTTGTCTTCCCAATGCTTTCATCTCCCCTCCTTTTATTTCAACGAACTTTAGCTGAATTACACGCTGGGGTACATATAAAAGAAATCATCCTCTTTTGGAATGTTCTAATTGATTTGGTCTTCACAACTTCTCTAAGGAGGGCAGAGAAGAAATAAATACTCATGGAATACATCTTCTGAGCTAAGACTTAACTCCAGTCTTCCAAAAGCCTTAGGAAGTGGAAGTGTTCTCTGTTTTACAATTCAGGACACTGACAAGTCAAGTCCTGCGCAGAAGGCCACAGCGCCAGGCTCCCTCTTGGGTCTGAGGTCAAAGTCCATGTTCCTTCTATTACATGATGCTAGAATTCTGTAAAAAAAAAAAAAAAAAAAGGTAGGCACCCCAATTAACAGATGGTAAGACTGAGGTACAGAGAGCTAGGGGCTTCCTCAATTTTGTAGTGCATCAGCATTTTGGGTGCCTGCCAAGAAGATGAATCAAGTTTTTATTGGAACAGAGTGCAAGCTCGGAATGGGAGGCAGGATGTGAGAAAATACCCTCTTATATGATAACTTTATTTCTATTTGCTGCCAGCATTGGATTCACAGGGCTTTAACATAGTGAGGTAGGAGAGCATTGAGCTAGTTGTGGTTATGTATATCTCATATCAAATCTAGTGTTCCCCTTGGTGTTTGCTGGAGACTATTGAGGAAGGACCATATTTTATATCCTAGAAATAAATAAAACTCTCTCTTTCCAAAACACGCACCCTAAGCTCCTAGCACTTCACCCCTCTGCCTCACAATAACATAGTATCTGATGTATGAAAAGGTCTTATCTTGAACTTTATTTCTTCCTCTAAAAAGTAGTTTTCAAATGGAAATCATTTTTGATGTTGCACAGCACAAACTTCCTCTTGCTTTGGGAAATAATTTTTTTCTTCCGCACTTCCCCCTGTTCGTTCCTTTCATCCTCTTTATTTGTGTTGGCGTCTATAAAGCCTTCCATTCTGCTGAGTGAATGCTTTTGGCCGGGTACCAAGTGAGACTCAGCAGTTAGCCTGGAAGTATCGTTTTTTCCAATAGACAGAATTAGAAGGGAAACCCCGCCTCTTACACCCACTACTAATTACCATAAGACAAAATCCTGTTGTATCACTTGCCCATCACTTGCGAATTTCTGCTTCTCCGGCTCTCATTTCTGCAGAGAATGAGTTCAAGGCACATGGAGATTATGCCTCTACACCATGCAAGCCCTCCGGGGACACAGAGATGCTGCTGGAAACCATGGGTCTTGCCAACATCAGTTGCCGTGCTTCTAGCCATCTGCTTCAGCATCGTGGTGCTCACTGTCCCATCCCTCAAGGTAAGGAGACAGTAGTGCCTGAGGTTGCTACTGATTGTAACCCTTTGTCTTCTGTAAGTCTGCTTATTGTCATTGCACTCAGTATTATTGTTAGAGCTCATTGACAGGGGCATGGGAGGAGAGATAATATACATATAATTTTCAACATTGTCATGGCCTATGGCTTTTGAGGCTTATCTAAGAGTTTTGAAATGAAAGGTATTAGAAAAGGCTAAATGTGAGCTGCAGAACATGGGTAGGGGAAGAGCATGGCTGAACTCAGTCAGTCATTTGACAGATGCCTGTGGAGTATTTTCCCCCCCCCTTTTTGGAGCTTTGCTAAATAAATCCTCTTGGTGGAATCAAAGGATATAAAACATGATGCTTGCTCTCATTAGTCTAATTGAGGGAAGAGACCCCCCCCCCAAAAAAAAGGTGACAGAAGATGGAAAAAAGTAAATGACAGGTGGTGAGTGTATCTTGGAGAAGGGAAAGGGCTCTAAACAAGGACTAAGAAGGGCTGGATTCTGGTTCTAGGTCTCCCAATCACCACCTGTATGAATTTGAGAAAGACGTTTCATCTTTCTGGTTCTGTTTCTTCATCTGAAAAATGGCAGTAGAAGAATGCATCCATTTATTACAATGTCCCTTCTAGCTATAAAATACAGTGACTTGTCATTCATCTAAGGGTGGTATAGAACATAAATGCTTTAGAAGTTCGGGGGGTGGGGTGGGCAATGACTTTGGCCTAGGGTGATCAAGGAAGGCTTCATGGAGGAAGGGTGAGGCACATTCTTATTTGGGAAGCCCCTGATGCTTATTAGGAATTTCCCATTGAGTTCCAGTCCAAGTTCTAGGTCTAGTGCAAGGAATGAAGATTCCTTAGGTTTTCACTAGAAGTTTTTCTGACTGTTGACTGCAAAGCACTGGACCCAAAATGCGTTCTGTCAAATAGGATTTAACCCATTTTGGGGTATGTTTGAAGATTCTGAGCCTTGGGGAGAATCAGGTGATACATGGCCATTTAGGAAGGGGCAGTGATATGAAATCAGGAACTTCAGAAAGATTTTTCTAAGGGAATTGGCCAGCGAAGATTTCACAGATACCGTTCAACCACTTAAAATATTTGAAAGCAATGGAGAAAAAATGCAGGAGCAACGTAGTTGCTGGCGTTTAGCTGGGGCAAGTATAGCTCGGGGCCACATGTGTACACGGCAGTCCATTCATTTGTATTGCTTAAGTACACACAAACACACACAGGCACTTCTAACCACAACTCCAGTCTCCTAGGGGAGGCATCGAGCAGAAGCCTGGCGTTTTCTGAACCAGGGAAACTTTGAGCAGAGATCAGAGAGCTGTCAGGAGTTCCGAGTGTTTAGATTGCTGAAGAAGGGGAAGGATGAGAATAGCGGTAACTTAAATTTGGAAATGCTTTTTCATTCTGAAAACCACTAAAAGTCAAGTCTCATTAGCCAGATGACCTTGAAGAACACAGGGCACGTTATGTGTCATCCGTCCCTGCACGTGGGGGACGCAAGGCATGGAAGAGAAGGAAGGTGTCTTTCTCAAAGGCACACAGTGGCTCTTGCAAAGGGACAGAGGAGGTCTAGAAAGTCCAGGGGCATGGAGGACACCTCTTACCAAAACTGAACGTGATCCGTCTCATATGTTTCAGCTTTGATTCTGGATTCTCTCTCCCAGACAATAGGCAGCTTTTCAAGGAAGGTTCTGCCCCTAAAGAAAGAGCCCAGAGTTTGTTCCCAATTTGGAGATGTTTAATAGGCTCTTAGGAAGTGGTTCTGAAAGGATGCCACAGAGGTGTATTTCCTGTGGGAAAAGTCAGTGGCCTGGCCAACAGCACCACCTCCTGCATTGCATCTTTTTTTTTTTTTTTTATCTTCATCCGAGGACATTTTTGCATTCATCTTCAGATAGAACAGGAGGGAGAGAGGGAGGGAGGGGGAGAGAGAGAGAGAGAGAGAGACATCGATGTGAGAGAGACACATCAACTGGTTGCCACCCACACGGCCCCAACTGGGGCCGGGGACAAACTGCAACCGAGGTACGTGCCCTTAGCGGGAACCGAACCCGGGACTCTCTGGTCCATAGGCCGAACTTTAACCACCGAGCCAAACCGGCCAGGGCCCGCATTGCACTTTCCATCGACTGTGCCGCCCTTTCCTGGTGGCACAAATACACGTAGTTGGAAAAGATGCCTGAGTTGCTGGCGGGTGTGAGTTATAGTCACTGGGCTGCTTCCACCTTCTCATAATACCCATGAACCGTGGAGTTTAGATTATTTTAATCCACACTCTTATTTTTATACACAACATCTCACTTTCCCGATTCTCTAGGCAATAATTCACCAAGCTTTAGACAGAAAGATTGGCCCCTTCTGGACCCACAGCAGTGTCTTTGGGAGAAAATTATCTTCTTTTCCCTCCTCCTTTCAGACAACAGCCAACTGCTATGAGCCCAAGCCATTTGGTCAACTCCCTAGTGACAATAACCTCACAGAAGTTGTCCCTAAGAGACCAGATGTTCAGGTTTTTTTTACCCTTCTTCAGTAAAATGAAGGATATTTCCAAAGGGGGAAGTTCTGCTTCTACCTAAAAGCAGAATGGACTCTATTTTCAAAGGGTGATCTGATGAGGGTTGGTTTGGAGAAAGAATTATTAAGCTTTGGCCATTTGAACCCAACTATATAAATCTTAACTTAAACAGGGTTATGAGAGCAACTGATCCTCTTCAGCAAAAATGGATCAAATTAAACCAAGCTCGAGGTCCCATATGCTTCTTTACAAGTGGATATTTGCTTCTTCCAAGCATGTCAGAATTATAAATAGAAACTGTCCCACAGGGTGGTAGGATCTAGACCTGTGAGTCAGACAGACTCTGTTTGGATCTCAGCCTAGCCTTTTTATCAGCTGCATGACCTTGGGCTAGTTACTTAATCTCTGTCATACATTTTCATATCTGCAAATGTGATGCTGCTAATCCTCATTTTATAGACTTGCGGTAAGGGTTAATGAGAAAGCACAGTGCCTGGCCCGCGGTAACCTCTCCGTTGACTGCAGTGATTACTATTGATACCATTATTATTAATGACAGTACAATGAAGATGAATTTCAAAAGACTTTAACAATATGGGTGTTCCTTGCTTATGTATTTCACTTCCTCCACCAAAGATGATACCTCCCTGCCAAATAGATGATTTTTGTGATTGGACAGATTTTCATTTGTGGCAACAGAGAATGTCACAGTGGTGATTTCTGAAGCTTACCCAGACATTACCATGGCCCACGAGAGAGTGTACAAGATTTCTGTCTCTGGCAATCAGTCTATGACCTTAAGTTTCTCCACATTCTTTATTCATGAGAGGGCAGAGCATAGATATGATCTGCGGCTCATACTTTGGCATCCATTTATATTTAAATTGTTACCTAATGGCTCCATGTATGAAATCATGAGGAAAGAGAGATAGAAAGATCGATGAGAGAGAACATTGATTGGCTGCGTCCTACACGCCCCTCACTGGGGACCTGGCCCAAAACCTGGGCATGTGCTGTGACTGGGAATCGAACCAGCAACCTCTTAGTGCATGGGTCGATGCTTAACCACTGAGCCACACCGGCCGGGTGTAATCATGTCTATCTAGAAAGATCATAAACTTCTTAAGAGGCAAGGACCATAAATTACTTTTGTTTCTCTTGCTGACTGTGCTAGAATAATGCTGAGAATATAGCTGCTTGAAGTGTTATTCAATTCTTCATTATAATCAGCATCATTATCAAAATAGGTACTATTTAATGAGCAGGAGCAGAGAGATATCTGAGCAAAGCCATTCACAAGAATGACCCCATTTAAATCATGACCAGCCCTGGCTGGTTTGGCTCAGTGGTTAGAGTGTTGGCCTGAGGACCGAAGAGTCGAGGGTTTGATTCCAGTCAAGGGCATGGACCTCAGTTATGGTTGAATCCCTGGCCCTGGTTAGGGTCATGTGGGAGGCAACTAGTAGATGTGTCTCTCTCACATCTATGTTTTTCTTCCTCCCTCCCTCCCTCTCTATCTGAAAAAAAAATCAATGGAAAAATATCCTTGGGTGAGGATTAAAAACAAATAAACAAACATGACCAATTTCCATGAGCCATGAGCTAGGTGGTACTATATTTCTCATTTTATAAATGAGGAAATTGAAGTTCTGAGACTCCCTATCACATGCCTATCATGAGTTAAACTAAATGAAATTTCAACATCTCTTCTAAGAAACCCCAAGATGAGGATGAAATAATTGCAAAAGCAAAAACAATTGTAGGAATCCAGTGATTTATTCTAAAAATAATGGCTTTCAAACATTTTGATTGCAACCTCCTACTGAAATAAAAATTGTTTTTATTTTGATTTCAATCCCAAAATATATGCTAACTATTATACATTATATATAAACACTAATACTATATATTAAAAAGATACACAAAATAGAAATTTATAAGGATGAACCAAATGATATGCTTAATGTAGTTTATTCACAGTGCAAAACCATTTTGCTTTTACCAAAATATTATATTTTATAGACTATGTTAATATATAACAAACACTTCTAAGATAACTGAACGAATATTCTAGTAGAGTAATTTATTCAATATATTACTTTTATTTTCTTATCTTAGTTTAACACTTTGTGATACAGTAATTTGAAGGTTATACTCTAAGTTAATGTACTTTGATTCATGGTTTTGCTGCCATAACTGACAAAAGACCTCACAGAGAAATGTAGATCAAAATGGAAAAATGCATCCTTGAGTGTGCTTACCATGTCATGACACTGAATTTATTTTTAAATCCTCACCCAAGGATATGTTTTTATTACATTTTAGAGAGAGAGGAAGGAGAGAGAGAAGCCCCCATCAGTTGCCTTCTGATACACCCTGACCAGAGATCAAACCCACAGCTGAACTATGTACCATGACCAGAAATTGAAACTGAAACTTTTTATCTTGTTAAAAATTTAAATAAATTTGGCCCCCACTCCATTCATGCCTTTCCTTCCTTCCTTGCACAACTTAAATTCGTGGTTTATAATGATAACCCTAACCCCGCAGCCATCCACTCACTTGTTTTGTCTTGTTATATACTAACATCGAAACTTCAACCCTGGAGAATTGTCAACACCAATGAAATCCAGCTGCTCTGTGTCTTTTGCAATTGAAATACAGCTGAGGAAAAGGCCTCGTTGAAAGGGCTTACTTTAAATTTATGGCCATTAACTTCAAGTGGGACCTCAGTGTTGCTCTGTAAAAACCTACAACCCCTACAGTCCACTGTATCTCCTCTATTGGACTAGTTCATTCCTTGGACTTCTCTTTAAACAGCCAGTGTCTCTTCCCCATTCTCTCACCTGATATCTTTGCCTTCAGGTTCTGTGAGAAAAAAGAGGAGACAGGAAAGGGTTCCCAAGCTCCCCATCACATCAACCACTCATCTGCAAGTTGGTCCATGTGTACTGTGTTTTCCTCTTGTCGCTGTGTGTGAATTGTTCATGCACGTATGTAAGGCCGTCTGTGAACTAGATTCTGCCTTCTCTTACCTACTCAAGGACATTGTTCCAGCAATGATCTCCCAGCTCTTTCATATTACCCGCTCCACTTTCTTGAAACACTCCCATCAAATGGCCACAGATAACCACATTGCCATTTCTCTCAGATTCAAACAAACAAAACCAAAACAAACAAGCAAAAATAGCTCTGACCTCTCATCCCCATCCAGGATCCATTCAATTTTCTGTTCTCCCTTACAGCAAAATTCCTCCAATTTCTCTTTTTTCTCATTTACTCTTAAATTCATTCAAATTAAGCTTTGTCCTCATCACATCACAGAACCCACTTTTGCCAAGAACCTCAATGACTACCAGGTCCATCGGTCAATGCTCTGTCCTCTTCAGCATTGGAGACGGCTGATCACCTCTCTTCTTTGAAACACTTTCTTCTCTTGGTTTCCAAATATCACACTCTCTCTGTTTCTTTCCTGACTTCCTCACCTTTCCTCAATCTTCTTGCCGGTTCTTCCTCATTCCCTGACCTCTAAACATTACAGTGTCCCAGTAACTCCTCTCCATCTACACTTACTGACCTGATGACCTCATCCAATCTCCTGTCTTCAAGCATCACATAGTAGCCAAAGAGTCCATATTTATATAATCGGTACTCCTCAAATTCCATCCTCATAGATCTAGCTGCCTATTGGACTCCCCTACCTGGATATCTGATAAGCCCACACAGTTGATAGGTCCAAAACCAAACTCATAGTTCTTTCTGCTCCCCTCAATTGATTCCTCATTTAAGTGACTTCCCAGTGCCCCAAATCTTGGAGCTTTCTTGATCTCTTCTCATTTTCTCATCCCATACCCATGCCAGGACTCCTGTGGGCTCCATTTCTGATCACCTATCACCATGTCCACTGCTAGAACCTTGGTCGGGGGCACTGGGCTTTCTCGCCCAGATGGCTACAGAGATCTCTTAGCTGGTCTCACTGTTTCCACCCTTGCTTCCCTCAATTCATTACTAGCTCAGCAGTCAGAGAAATCCCGTAAAAGCAAACGTGGAACGTCTTTAGGTTCAAAAAATCTCTTGAGCACTTGGCCGGGGGGAACCAATAAACTTTACATAGTACAATTTTTTTTTTGTTATACTTTATCTTAATACAAGTATTTACAGCACATAAACTGTGGTATGTTGTAACAGTTTGAAACCGGTCTCTTCAGAATATTTCAGTTATGATATATGACACGTGATTGCCTGGATATTAAACAAGGGTGGCTTGATCAACCTGAGCTGTACATATTTCTATAGCTTAATTACTTGTTATGTAAAATAAAAATAAACATAAATAGAAATCGATTCCTTTATTCTCACATGCCAAGGGATCACCTGTGTAAGCACCGGACTGTGGAAAGTACTGTTTATAGAAAATTTCTATAGCCCAAGAGGGTGGGAGTCCAAGATCAATAGTTGTCCTGTAGGTAGAAGTTAGCTGGATAAAATGAGACCTTAACTTTGGCCTAGAAGGCCAAAAAGGGGTGAAGGATAAAGCCAGCCATTTGTAAAAAGAAGCCGAGAGAACCAAGACAAAGTGGAGGGAAGATTTTTTTACATGGCTAGCAAAAGAAGTTTGCTTCCGGAATATGAAGCTCCAAATAAGTCAATGAAGAAAGTTGTGACATTGTCATCATCCTGACTGGTGTCTCTTTTTCTCCCCCTACAGATCATCAGTGAGCAGCACTGCGTCGCTAAGTTTGGTGAGTAGCCCTGTCTTACATGCCTCCTTTTTACTTTTCTTAGTATTCGATGCAAGAAGGCAAGTCCCCATGCTGTCAAGGACACCTTTATTCTATTTTATTCATTCTTCAGCTACTATTTATAACTGCTTATCAGTTGTCTAGGAGCTGAGGTTTCCGAGGTCAACCAGATAGATCAGAGCGTGCCCTGATGAAGCTTACATCAAGGTCACATCTCTGGGCAGGGACGCACCTCAGTCTTCCAGGCCTGGGAATCTGAGATCCAGGAACCTGCTGTTAATAAACACACAGTTTCGATGTCTACAGTTTTTCTCAAAGTCCTTCTCACATTTCAGATATTGCCGTTGTCCAGCAGAGTGTGTGGGGGGTGCCATTTTGTTTCTAAATGTATATCAAAAAGGAATGAGTGCTGGAGCGAGTGGCCACTTTCTCCACTCCTCTCTCCTCTTAGCTCCTGGGTCACTTTCCCTTGCAGTGACCTGGTATTTGCTTGGAAAACACACTAAAGTATACAGTTAAGCTGAACCTTAGAGTATTTCTTAGAATATATACAAATATATATGGAAATAAGTACATTTGGGGTTATTTACAGGTTTTAGGCCAAACACACATATTCAGCTGAGAGAGAACATTTCTAGAGATACCTACAACCCCTGTTTCCTAAACAGCCCAACCCCCCAGGCTTCCCAGGCTCCTAGGATTAGGGAACGTCTTCTTACTGGTCTCTGTCTTTGTCATTTGTTTTTGCTTTTCTCGTGAATGGAGTGGAACTCATGATATATTTGAAATTCCCTTTTGATGTGGTAAGAGTCGAGAATCAGGGAGCTGATGAAGTAATTAAATAATTATGTTTCCCATTTTTTCCTCTCCCTTATAAATTTCTTATAGGACCATTACCTTCAAAATGGAACATGACATCTCTTGAGCCTCGTTGTGTGCGTCAGAAAGCTGACTGGAAACTGGAGATACTTCAGGATGGCTTGTATTCGATTTATGGCCAAGTGGCACCCAATATAACCTACAAAGAAAAAGCTCCTTTTGTGGTGTGGCTACGTAAAAATAAAGGCATCCTACAAGCTCTGAAAAACATCACTGAAATCCAAAATGTAGGAGGGACTTATGAGTTGCATGCTGGAGATGTAATAGATTTGATTTTTAATGATGACTATCAAGTTCTAAAGAATAATACATTCTGGGGGATCTTACTGCTTGCCAATCCCCAATTCATCTTCTAGAGGCTTGATTTGGTCTCTTCATCCTCTTTGGCACATGCAGAGATCTGGTGGGTGAGCTGGAGAAGGCAGATTTTCAATGCCTGCAGTTTGGGTACACAAGTCAAACAACAGAAGTCCTCAGCAGGTGAATTTTATCTCTCATGCTACATCTGAAAGAGACTCAGAAGAAGGACCAAAAACAATTGGTTATCCCTGGCATTGGCTGAGCAAAGACACTACTAATCCATTGTAAAATGAATAGAGGTGGTAAAGGGTAGAAGCTTCTCAAAGAGTCTTTGTCTCATCTTTGAATTCCTAGGTGGAAAAACGAGGTCTTATTCTGAGGGAAGCCTTACTTGTATGCTAAAAGGATCCATATTCCTAGTCTCATATTCTTGGGCTGTTTCACTTTATTCTTCCCATACTCCCACCTTCTGAGACCCTCCTAATAAAAAGCAGTCGGACTGGTAGGGTGGCCACAGACATGCCAACACCACCCCACTTTAGATGTGCTACTAGAGGACAGAGAACGCTCTGGGGAGATGTTTGGATAGGAGCTCAGGTGGCATGGAATGAAATGCACTGTATTTGGGAATTTCCCTTGATTGCATTCATCATACTCAGGACGCAGGGTGCTTACTACAGCCGGTAGGTCGAAGGGGTGATCCTGGAGATTCACATGGGGCGTCGTGAGAACTTGTATGTGTGTGCGTCTAAACACTGTCAATGGTACAGGAGTGAGCATTAGTGATCTCACAAGACCTCCCCCAGAAATTGGTACGGCCAGTGCTGGATAACGTCATGGAATCATTTCATGTATGTAGCTGGCTCTCCACGGTTTACAAAGTGCTTTCCCCTATCACATGGCAACTCTATAAAGTTAACGGGGCAGGTATTTGGGGCACAATTTTAACAATGAGAATACGATGGAACCCACAGAACGAGTGATTAACGGGGCCAGTGGGCTTCCCGCTGTATCACTGTCTTAGCTTTAGAGTGGTATTTCTGCCATTCACGTTATGAGCCCATAAAGTTGAGCAGATTCCGTTTTCAGACGTGCCCCTCTTCCACGCAGGGTGGGTAGAGGGAAGCCACAACAGACCTTTCCCTTCTTGGTAAGCTTCTTTTCCTTTCCCTGCCTGAGCAGGTGCACAGTGGTGTTGCTCAGGGCTGACTCGGACCAAATCCCCTTCCTCGCTTGGAAGAGCCTGTTTTGGTCAAATGTGTAAAAACTCAATTTGGTGGCAGCCTGCTACAGTTTGGGGCTCTGTTAAATTAATATGCTACTGTGGGTTCTTGTTGAAAGCTACATAATATGATGACATGTTAACCGAATTTAAAATATTTATGGATATTTGTAAAAAGCTACACGATGTTAATTAAGAGCATCACATGTAAAGCTAATTTAAATATATTTGTATTGTGTATGACAATCGCTCTGGGAACAGGCTGAGCCGGAGGCCAAGTTGTTGCTTAGTACGTGTCTTTCTAAACAGCATGCCTTGTTCCTCTTGCATTTGTGTACCTTCTCAGGAAATTAAAGCCGTATTGCACATGTTTACAAAAACTTGGTGGAACTGATCTTTGTTACATTATAAGCAGATGTTGCTGGAATGGGCTGGTGCTAGTTGGTGAGAACTGACTGTTAAATTTTCAGAAGTTTTCGATCTGGTTATTAAATACTGCCATCCTCCAAATTGCCGTGGTGGGGCTGTTCATACATGGGAATTGGTAAATGCCACAAACCAGGCTTTGGTTGTTTTTTGAAAGTCCACTCACCAGCACACCGCTGTTTGTAAGACTCTCCTTCTCAATGATTCCTCCTTGCTTTGGCCTCATTCCTGGGATAATCAAGGGAGAAGTGAAATTACATGCCCAGCAAAAGCTTCACATGGTATCAATTTCTCAAGGCGAGTGGAGGTCTCAGCTGCAACCAGAGAGAGAGAGCTGCGGACAGATGGTCTTCAGACGTCCCCAGGGTTGCATTTCAGCCTTTGTTTTCGATGCATCCTCTGCTTCCTTGTTTCTTCAAATAGCGTCTTGGTAAGTGGACTGTGGCTGACTGATCTGTGGGTTGTCAGACTGGAGGTAGCCATCTGGAGAATGGGAGGGTACATCTGAGAGTTACTTGTGCTCAGCAAGTGTTAGGCAGCAGCGAGAGCTGGGTGCAGTTAGCTTTGGGTTGTAACCCAGTTTGAAGTGGGTTAGCCAGACAATTTCACTCTCTGACGTCCACCTACCTCAGCTCCACCCCCCCCCCCCATCATCAAAGCTGTCATCAACCCTTCTCACACTGATTGCTATTCACCTTCCACTTTGCCCCATAAAAGTTGACCTGGAGTGTGCTACATCCCTGCAGGTCAAGTCTTTACTCCTGAAGACAGCAATTCATTGAAAAGTGATGTAGTCGAGCGCCTCTGTGCGCCTTGAAGAAGTCCCAGCCTCTGAGTGTGCCATCGCAAAGAAGCGATTTCATTTGTGGGGGTGGGAGAACATGTTTTTACTAGAAGGAGAAGCAAAACCCCGATTGACCCATGGCTGAGGGGTCTGAGGATTAGCTTTAAGTAGAAGTTATAAATGATGCTCTGGCAGGTACTTTTCCCCTGATCTGAAAGGACGCATCTCTGTATTGGGGTCACCTGTGACCCTGGCGGGACCACACCACTGGTGTTGACCGTCCTGCGAGTCCCACATCTGATCCATAGGAAACCGGTACACAGGCCTTGCCCTACAAACCCAGAGAGCATGTGGCAAGACGATCCTATCTCTACTGCCAAGGACTTGGCCTCTCTGTCCCCAGCAGGCTTCTGGGTGGCATCAGACTAGGCTGCCGCTGGCTTTAGCTTTCTCAGGTGACAGCCAGGTACCAGTCTCTGCATCTCCCAGTGAAAAGAAATGTGTTTCTTTTCATATTTCTCCCTTGACATCCTTCGACCAGGTGTAGGGTAGAACAATTTGCTCTCCATCTCCCCTGCGAAGGGCGTGGGTGAGGTCTCACGGCACGGCCACACCTCTCTTTATAAATGTTCCCCCAACCTCCCCTCCTCCCCACTCTGGCCTCCTTTTAGGTTCTTGGTCCAGCTGAAGTGTCCTAAGAGTAGTGGGGAAGGGGGCTTTCTTCATTTCTTTTGTAAATTCTGCACATTGCGGGGCGGGGGGGGGGGGCAACTGTCTTGCTGTCACTTTGATATCAAGGTGCCATATTATGCTGGAGTGAAAACCAAGTCAGGGAGAGTCCCACACTAACACCCAGTGACACTCTTCTAGGCCTCAAGGGACCTGAGAGACCTCTGATACAATGCAGAAACACATACAGCCCCAAACCATCATCCCAGGAGCAATAAAGTAAGAACTTAATCAAAGGCAGAGGGAGAAAAAAAATTAGTGTTCAGAAAAAGTAGTCTCAAGAACATATTTACCCAGGGTGCTTGAACAAAACGTGATTCCTATACCCCATTCACAGGCTACTGAATCAACATGTTTAGGGATGAGCCCTAGGAATCACATCTTTAACACGCTCTGACCCGCCGGTCATTCTCATGCACACTGCAGTCTGACAACCACTGCTTGGTAGCACGCAGCTTCGAATCTCAGCCGAATGTTTCTCCAAGTATCTAAAAAGAGTCAAAGCTTCCAAACAAATAAGCAGCATAAAAAGCAAAACAAAAACAGAACAATAACAACAAAAACAAAGTGGGTTGAGCCTTACCACAGCCCATGAGCCTTACCACATGAGCCTTACCACAGCCCATCTCTCATCACAGAAGCAGGTGGCCTTCTGGCCCCTGTTGGAGTCTGAACAAAGGTCAGGCTCTTCACCTTTCATAACCTGATGGCGACTTTGAACTTGAACCTTGACCATCTAAGGCATATGAGCCTTGCCACAGTCCATACTACATTATCCACCTGTGTGCTGTACCCCAAATATTTACCTCTAGTCCAAGTTGCTCTCCTTTCCCTCTAGTCCAAGTTGCTCTCCAACTGTCCACTCAACAATTTCACGTTGGAGGTATAATGGACATCTCAAGTTCAACTTGTCCAAAATGAATCTATTAATGTTTCCCCAAACCAGCTCCCTGCCCCCATTTTTTTTTCTTTATCATCCTCACTCGAGGACATTTTTCCATTTTTTGTCCAGGTAGAGTGGGAGGGAGAGAGAGGAACAGAGAGAGAGAGAAACATCAATGTGAAAGGGACACATCGAGTGGTCGCCACTCGCACAACCAACCAGGGCCGGGGACAAACTGCAACCGAGGTACATGCCCTTAGCGGGAACCGAACCCGGGTCTCTCTGGACCGCAGGCCGACGCTCCAACCGCTGAGCCAAACCGCAGGCTGACGCTCCAACCGCTGAGCCAAACCGGCCAGGGCTCCCCGCCCCCATTTTAATTGTGTTGCATGGGCCCCAAAACTCTGAGTCATGGAGCTACTCTTGATTTATTTATTCTGTGAAGAAATCCACCCATTTATTCTGTGAAGAAATCGTATTGTTTTTACCCTCAAAGAGAGTCTGACCTCTTTTCTGCTATGACTCTTATCTGTACCACCAAGATTATTTTAATAACTTTCTAACTGGTTACTCTGCTTCTACCTTTGTGGTTAGACAGACTTGTTTTCAAATCTCAGTTTTGCCATTTACTACTTATTTGGATCTTAGAAAAGACACTTGCCCTCTCTGAGATGCAACTTATTGTTTATTTTGTTTACTGTTATTTATTCAGTGCCTGACATATAGTTGGAATTTAAATCTTTGCTGAATCAAAGAATACATTTAGAACAGATTTAAAATAACAATGAATATATGTAAAGTTCCTGATATACAGTAGACATAAAAATGGTGGCTCTACCATTGATTTTTTTAATTAAAGATTTAGATTTATTTCTAAGTTTTCAAACTTCATCATTTTTCAAGTTGAGATGTTTACTTAACATCTCTTTTGTTTTCTCTCTTCCCTAAGAAAAGTGAAGGCCCAAGATAAAAGTACTTTTTTTATTCAACGCTGTATCACTAGTCATGTTCG